TTGGTAGTTTGATAGGGATTGCATTGAATCTATAGATTGCTTTGGGTAGTATAGCCATTTTGACAATATTGATTCTTCCAAGCCATGAACACGGTATATTTCTCCATCTGTTTGTGTCCTCTTTGATTTCTTTCATCAGTGCTTTATAGTTTTCTATGTATCTCTCTACTCTTTTTATATGTATATATTTTTACCTCTGAATTTATAAAAGCCCCCAAAGTGGGTAAAACCACTCCCAGTGAATGGTTTAGGTGTGTTAAGAAATGTAGATGCTTAGAGCTCAACCTCATTGTTTAAGCAGCAAGACCCACTTTCCTACAATCCTCTGAAGGTTTTTACCTGAGTCCTTTCTGCCTCTCCAGAGCTCTTTCCCTTCACATGGACCTTGTACATAATTTCTTGGACGTGACTGGAGAGACTCCCAGGCAATCAGGTCAGTATTAACCAGCTCTCACAGAGGTGTTTCCCCCCATTTTAGAAAAGGATACAAAATTTGTTTTTTTCTGTAGAATTAAATAATATTAAAATGGAAAAAAACATTAAAAAGGAGAGGGGACAGGAAGGCTGGGGTGTGTGTGGTAACTTCAGACAGGGTAGTCAGGGAAGGCCTCCTGGAGAGGTGACACCTTAGCTGAGAACTGAGAGAAGTGATAGGCAAAGATTGGGATGTCTTCCCTGTACAGGGGTACTAGCTGATGATAGAATATGATGCTGGTCATGGTTTTGAAAAATCATAGGAATGCAAAGCTATATCTAATGAAAGATCAGTCATGTGTGTATGTGTGGTTGTATAAGTGTACAAACTGGAAGTTACATTCCAAACCAATGCGAGGGTTTCATCTTGGTAAGGGGCAAAGAACTGCAGGAGAGAGAAGTTGAAATTTTCTCTGTTTTTTTGTTAGTATTTTTTAATGAGAGAAACTATTCCAGGTAATTTGTATAATTAAATTTTTAAAAAATTCACCTTCTAAAATGACTGACTTAAGGCAATGGGGCAGTGAGTGGGGAACATTTTCTAATACATTTTCAGAACTAAAAAAGTAAGCCTGCATTTTTTAACAACCAGGAAAAAAATACAACAAGGTGATTTCTGACCTGTAATTATTTTTACTGTCCTTTGGCCCAGCCAGCAGATGACCCAGGGAAGCTCTTATCAGACCGACTCCCTCCCACAACATTTGGCTCTGTTGCCAGCATCACTATGGCTAGCTACAGGCACTCCTGGCACAGCCTCAAGGGTGGAAAGAGCTTCCCCCCAGCAGGTGACAACACTTATTAATAAAAGATGATGGAGAAGCAAAGGGAGAAAGAATGCAATGGGCTGGGCGTCCGGAAGGCAAAGCCCCAGATCTTTAGGCCCCATACCCAGCCCAGGGCTCATCTGCCTGATAACCTGGTTCTCACACTTTCCCTCCCCCCGGGAAACTGGAGATAAGGTTCCTGGCCACTGGGACAAAGGGCAGTTGGATGTAGTGTTTGGTTGCCCTCTTGCCATGGTCCAGGCTGGTCAGTGGCTTCCCTACCAGAGCACAGATAAAGTCACTTTATTGTGTCTATGCCCTCTGACCTCCCTTACAAAGAGCTCCAGGTCCTCAGTCCTGCAGGTCTGCATCAATCCGACCACGGTCTCCTCTTCCCAAAGAAGCCTTAGTGCTGACCTCGCAGATGGACAGAGACATCTTTTCAGATCTGTGGCCTCGTCCCAGTCCCTGGCTCAGGACCCTCACAGGCTTGACAGTCATTAGTCCATTTTCTTTGAGGCATGGAAATGTAGCCTGAGTTTTTTCTCACTGTTTTTAATTTTGGCAGCACCACATGGCTTCACTTTATTTCTTCATAGCTCCTCATTATGGATTTATGATGACTCCAGACAGTAAAGTGTGTGTGTGTGGAAAGCCAGTCCTGAATAACACTGTTGTTGTTGTTGTTTTTATTCTCTAAATTGTGTCTGACTCTTTCTGACCCCATGGACTGCAGCCCACCAGGCTCCTCTGTCCATGGGATTTCCCAGGCAAGTATACTGGAATGGGTTGCCATTTTCTTCTCCGGGGATCTTCCCAAACCAGGGATCGAACCCGAGGCTCCTGCATGTCCGGCATTGCAGGCAGATTGTTTACCACTGAGCCACCAGAGAAGCCTCCCTGAAGAATACGATTAGTAAGTAAAGCTGCTCTGTTAATAAACTTACTTTGGTCCACAGGATAAAGCAGCTGAAAGGAAGATTTTAGCTCTTACTACCAGGTTTTGGTAAGCTGTGACATCAGCCTTTGCACTGGGTATGAATATTTGTATACTTTCTTTAGAAAATATGGAGAAGGGAATTATTACCCACACCAGTGTTCTTGCCTGAAGAATCCCATGGACAGAGAGCCTGGTGGGCTTCAGTCCACAGGGTCACACGGTCAGACATGACTGAGGAACTAACACTTTAGAAAATCAAATCAGCTGATAGAAGTTACATAATGCTGATTTTGTTTCGCGAGAAATGGAAATCCTACTCAGGAGGAGTCCAGCCATTATTTATGGCTCAGATTTTCTAAGTTTTCCCTGAAACAAGTTGGTATTCTGAATTTCCAACATTCTTCCCAGAATGCTTTGTTTCTTTTACGCTGAGAGATGGAGGAATTTTTACTCAGGAAGGAAAATATTTTTCTTTTTTTTCTGAGAGGAAAATATTTCCAATTGTACCCACATCAATTTTTATGGTTGGTAAAGTATTTTCATTATATTAGTCAGAAAGAGTCCGGCCTAAAGTACAAAACCAAAGGTATTTGAAATGGCTTCCTGGTCAGGAAGATCTCGCAACAGCTCAGTTTCTGGACTCAGGAAAAACACACGAGGTCGTGGCTGGCCAGGAAGGCCACCTCACAAGAGGGCTGACTCTTTTTTTCTCTGAAAGCTTGGAAGTGGAGTCCGAGTTTATTTGTTGACTACACTGTTCTTGTTTCTTGTAACCATAGAGTCTGGTTTGGTTGAGTGTTTCTTCTGTCAAGGCTCCTGCCGAGCCAATATTTATCATTTCAGAAAATTCCATGAGTCATAAAATAAACCCGAACTCTGCTGTACCTTCTATGGGTACTTCTTTGCTAGATTTAAAATAAAAGGAAAAAAAAGCTGGAATCCAACACAGCATTTACCAGACCACATACACACTTTCTTCTGCACTGAGGGTCCTTCTCTGAGACGTCAAAGCCATTTAAGGTGTGCGGCCTGCTGCCTGGACCCTTCCTGCTCACCAGTTCAGACCCCTGGCTGGGGGGTGTGGGGGAGAGATGGGCGGGAGGGAAGGGGGGCAGGCTTGGTCTAGGAAACAGAGGAAGCTGAAGTTTGAAGCCAGGAAGTGACTCACTGGCTCACAGCATGAGAAATACCAATGAGCAAGTGATTCCTTCCAGCTCCAGCATGGAAAACCTTGCCAGGGTACCACCTCTCAATGACTGAGCCTGAATTTACTAACCAAAAAAATAAAAATAAACAAACGACAGTATGATATGACATGTCGGCCTCTCACTGACATGGATGAGTACCTGACATTAATGCTATTTTCTCCCTTTGTGCCAATCAGCTCCCTCCCCCCCAGATGTGGATGCCTGAGAGAATCCCATGAGGCCACCACCTGGACAATTATAATAACTTATTGATTTTGCTGTAAAAATAGGCCCTGTGTCAAGAGCCCAAGGCCCAGAGTTTCTAAACCAAAATTCAAGGGCCTGCCTTAGTAACACTAGAACAGGATTCTCTACAAATGGCTGATACTGTACCAGATGCTCAATAAATCTTCTGTTTAGTGCAGGCATCATATTTTTGAGCTAAAGAAGCTAAACTCATCAATACCTTCAGTTTGCAGGTGAGGACAAGGAGGCCCAGAGGGGGGTAGTGTGCAAGAGGTTACACCAGCTGGAGCTGGTGACAATGGTATCAAATACCTCATTGAGAGACTGATGGCAGAAATACCGGTGTCTTATAGTAAAAGGCCCTCGAATTTCACATCACAACCACGGTCCCTCGGCTGTTTCCCATCTGGGAGCTGTCATGGAGTCTGCTTCAAGCTCCTCCTTGGGCAGACCTGGGTACCTTTGGCTGAATTATCATCTGGCATCCTTCCTCCCATCGCCAAAGGAAAGGAAAACTAGGAAGCACAGCAGAGCAGCCCCTCAGAGCAGGGGAAAAAGTCACATTTATATCTAATCTCGGTATCTTGGTCTGTGGAGTCTAACATTTTGGTAAAAATGCTTGGTGTTCTTTCCTTCCAAACATCCATCTCTGAGTGTCCCCTCTGGACTCATGTTCCCCAACCTCAGTAAGAAATCATGTTGGGAACAAATGCTTTCTTCGTCTCTCTCCAGACACCTCACTCATTAAGCTCCAGTAACATCTCTCTACTATGATCTGCCCCATCAGTGGGAGTTTGAGAATTCCCGAGAGATCCTGGGCGGAGTTTATCTTGGCATCCATCTGTTCGCACTCGTGATCTTCTTGTGGCAGGGCCCATGACTTATTCATCTTCTTGTTCCTGGTGGCAACATGACCACAGCTGGCAAAGAGTAGGATCCCAGTTGTCAAATCTAACTGAAAAATATTGCAAAGTGGCGTCCTGCAGTGAATGCAATGTTTTGCCTCCAAGCACAAACTTTCATTTTTTAACACTTCATTTTCATATGAGAAATTCGGGTGGTGAAAACAGATGGGCTGCCGCTAGGACTCCTACTTGGTTGGTGTGTATTAGACTGAACCATAAGAAAGTCCTGTTTTTGTAAGTCAGAGGTAGTTGAGTGTTGCCCATTTTCTTTGTTCAGACTAACAGAAGTGAAAAGAATATAACTACAGATACATTGCTTTTTACTTTTCATGAGACTCTTGAAGGGAATGTATGGGCCAAGAGGAGTGAAACATCACTGGTCAGAATAATTGTGTGACATTCTACCCCATTTTCTCTAGTAGTACACTATCACCTGAAAAACACATGTCATAGGTGTTCAAATTTTATGTTATATAGCAGTATATGACTTTAAGGATTAATAGAGAAATTGATAGTGTTACCATGGGACTATCCTGTTCCCATGAATACACTAAAATATATTTAGTGCTTTTCTAAAATGGGACCTTGGGGCTGCCTGGACCCGCAGAACTAGGCTACCGCACAGGAATGCCCAGAATGCCATTTGCCTTGGTTTGTATATCCCCCACCCACTGTGGTATTTAGGAAGTAGCAAAAGGTCCCCAGTTCTCTTGTTGGCACCACTGTGAGTGATGTCATGTGGCCTGATGTCAGTAAGCAGACGACTTACTCCTCTGGGTTCCTAAAGACCATCTCCTCCCCTCACCACATCTGTAGAACAGGACTAACAATTGTTTCTACCTGTGACCATCACCACTGTCACCTTCCAATAGCCATGTTCCCTTCTTCCTCAGGAAAGGAACCCGTTTCTTAGC